TCAAATAAGCATTTTTAAAAAAATCCACCTGACCGCAACAGACAGCAGTTACCTGTTACCTAGTATAGTCTTACCCGCACTTTTGTTTATTATCTTAAAATTTAGACTAGAGAATTCCTTCATTCATCTCTCATCCTTTATTTTACAGATTGTGCAAGAAAAGTCATGTATTTCATTTACTGAATGAACAGAATAGTATCTAAAAACAACTGCTACAGGAACACTTTTACAGACCTCCATTCACAAGTTCTCAGAGATGTGAACACACGTACATAAGACCAGGTTCACCTGGATATTTACACTTTTAAAAGCACATAACAATTTATTTTGAATACTTCGTTGTATTCCCACTTATCATTTGGAATCAGTTACCTTTGGTCCATCATCCTGGATCCTGATCTGCCATCACCACCAGGGGCATTTTTCTGTAATGGTATACTTCATGTATTAGTACTTGCACAGGACTGCATGTAGTTCTAAATTTTTATATGCAACCCAAAGCTGTTGTTCTGCCTGTACTGTAATCATACACAATATCCCACATGATCACTTCCAGGTTTATGTTCAAAAATCCTTGAGTGCCGGCCCACTTTGAAAAAAATTGTAATTTTTTTTTTCCCTGGAGATGCTCTGATATAAAGCATAATTGCATCTGAGGGAGAATCATCTTGCTCTTAAAAGAGCAATCCTAAGTTTGTGTAAGTGCTAAGTTCATTTCCATGCACCTCAGCACCAGGAAAGTGCTGACGCCCTAGCTTCTGCACAGACTTTCAGACAGGCTGATGGTACCCAGCACAAAAAGTTATCTTCACATGAGACCAATCTCTTAGAAAAGAGAAGTCTATAAAAGTGAAAAAGTCTACTAAAGTAGAAAACAAGTATTCTTTCAGGGATATGTTCTCCTGCATATGACAAACTTTTGAAAATGCACCAAAAATACCAGAATTCACTGTTATGACAGTTTTATTCTGCTGCTGCTTGGAAAAACAACAAGCAACTCTAGAGTTGTGTGATGGACCCAAGGAAAGGCCAGGCCACATTGAAGCAGGCTGTGCTCTATGTATGCAAAGATGTTTGTCTCAAAACCTCACCACAAAAATTCTTACTACTTCCAGCCCTGAGTTCACATACCTGCTCAGCAGTGGCTCTCAAAATCTCATCTGTTTCATACTGTCCAAGTGCCACATTTAGCCTCTGATCTGAAAAATACGAAGTTTGAGAATCATAGGTACAACATGGGCCATTATCTAGATAAACCTGACTGGCAGTCAGAAATATGTTTAATGGTGTAGTGCTTTGAAGGCACACAATATGCTTCATAAAATTCTTCCATTAGCACAATTATTTTAATGAAAATAGGACTTGAAAAAGTCTACGAAGACTGTGTAATAATAATGAATTCCATTTCTTTCATATTCCGTTTTGTTTTAGAAATTTTTAATAATGAATTCCATTTCTTTCATATTCCTTCTGTTTTGTTTTAGAAATTTTAAAAAAATGAAGTTTCTGCCTAGAAAACCCACAAACACATACACGTCTTAATGATTCACTAAGTGGTCTAAGCGCAACAAATCACATTGCATGTCCAAATTCAATTAGCTGGATGTTTGACAATTAACCTGTTGTTGGGAACTCAACCCTGCAGTTCTCAATAAACTTTCAACAAACTCAGGTCAAGAGAGCTTCACTGATAAAATGGATCTGAGCACTCAAGTATATCCAGAAGAAACCCAAACAGGAATGAAGAAATGCAGTCTGTCAGTATCTGCTTTTTCTGAAAGAAGCAAAGCGTAATGAGATTTCACACTGCTGAGCTGGGAACATCAGCTAAGGCATCCCTCTTCCTTACTCATCTAACTTTGGCTATTGGGATTTGAGAGGCTACTTGTACTACAAATGAAAGAACCAGCAGAAGGTTGGAAGGGAGAAATAACAGCTCTTTCCACTTGTTCTCAGAGTGTTCTTTGATCTAACAAAAACATAGTATAACCAGCCAGTCAAAAGAGGTGATTATCCCGCTGTATTCAGCATTCCTGCGACCTCACCTCGAGGGCTGTGTGCAGTTCTGGGCCCCACAATTTAAGAAGGATGTGAAGGTCCTTGAATGCGTCCAGAGGAGGGCAACAAAGCTGGTGAGAGGGCTGGAAGGAATGTCCTGTGAGGAGCAGCTGAAGACTTGGGGCTTGTCTACTTTGGAGAAAAGGAGGCTGAGGGGCAACCTCACTGATCTCCACAGCTTCCTGAGGAGGGGAAGTGGAAAGGGAAGTGCTGATCTCTCCTCCCTAGTATCCGGTGATAGGACACGTGGGAATGGTTCAAAGCTGCACCAGGGGAGGTTTAGACTGGACATTAGGAAGCATTTCTTTACCGAGAGGGTGGTCAAACACTGGAACAGGCTTCCTGGAGAGGTGGTCGATGCCCCAAGCCTGACAGTGTTTAAGAAGCATTTGGACAATGCCCTTAACAACATGCTTTAACTTTTGATCAGCCCTGAAGTGGTCAGGCAGTTGGATTAGATGATCGTTGTAGGTCCCTTCCAACTGGAACTATTCTATTCTATTTTATAAGAATCTGAGTGACACCTTTGTAACTGGAATGGATAAAGAGGAAGAAAAAGGAAGTTGGGAAGGTAATGCATACATTTTGATTTAAAACAACTTCTTGCCTATTTTTCTTGATACACGTCCCGTGGTTCTTTTTCTGGTTCTGGTCTTCTAAAGGAGAATATAGGAAAAAGACAGAAAAGAGAGAAAGGAGGTAATAGTAAAAGGGTGCCAAGGAACCAGAAGGGGAAAGTAGCCACCCTCACCAACCACAGCAGTCTGCAAACATGAGAGGCCATAGGTGCAAAAGGGGACAAATCTCAAACACACCTTACAGATGCACTCACCTTCAACAGTGAATTATTACATACATTCTGCTAAAAGCTCTATCTATTTAGTAGCTTATCACAAAAATATGGAATGGAATGGATGAATTATTATTTGTAGGGTTGGCTGCTGATACTGCAAAAAGCATTCAGGTAAAATTCAATTTATAACTGATTGGTGGCAGAGACTAGCATTTCATTCTGAGAACCTTCTTTACAGCTACATATTTAACGCAACAAATATTTATTCTACAAAGCTGAATATAATAGTGCTTAGAGAACCTCTTTTTATGTGTATTACACACAGCATTTTAGAACTTTGATTTCACATTCATGAAACAAGAGAAACATCAACCCATATACCAGACTTAGAGTAGGCCTCAAATAACTTATGTCTCAGCTGGCATGCAAGCCAACTTCAAATTTGTCATTTGGCACCTTCCAAAATGTACGAAGCTTTTTAAAGAGTGAATTAAAACTCCTTGATAGAAAAGGCAACTCTTACCACCTCACAGTGAATTGAGTCTAAGCTCTATTTAGAGCCTAAAGATTTATAAAATAAGAAGTTACACCCAGACAAATTAAATACGTATAAAAAAGCAAAATACCAATATTTGAAAATCCATGATTTGTTCATTACAGTATAATAAATACTCATGCAAAGCTTGATAAAGATATGGGCTTTTGAACCAGGACGACTCTGTTGGCTCAGAGAGAACCTTTTCTGCTACTAAGGTCCTTGGAATCAAGAGCTGGTCTTTCACCTTTGGCCACCCAAAGCTGTCATCCAAAGTTTAGTATCAATTGAAATTTTGATTTTTGCGTGATGCACAGCCATAGCACTTTATGCACTGTGATCTTGTCCTACTTCCTGCCATGCTATCAAGTTTTCCTGTAACACTAATTAGTGACAGGGACAGTAACATTCTTGGGACAACACATCAACCCATTCCCTATTTATAGGAATAGAAACTGTGCAGAAGCGATTTTTGCCAGTATTTTGCTGGTTAAGTAATTAAAGTGTACTCTGATTCAATCATATTAAGCTTACATTAAAATTATCAAAATTGTAACAAAGAACACTTAATTAAAAACACTGATTTTAGTCTATAAAGCAAATCTTATGAATAACTGGCAAGGCAGATTTTTTTGCCTTTCAGGTGTAAGCCAAGCATATGAAATGCAGTAGTTCCTTAACTAGAGAAAAGAGGCATTATGTCAAAAAATGCGTGTGTTTTTGGCTATTACCCTCATTAGCAGCTTTTAATTATTAGTCTTCAACTAACTAAAGAAATAGTTTTGATGCTATTCACTATAGCAAACGCTAGAAGAGCTACAGAATATAAATATTCATTGCTACAACCACAGGCAAGAGGGTTTCTACCCTCTGCAGAAATTGACCCCAGCTCCCGAGAGGCAGCGTCCAGGCCTCGGCTCCTCTGCTCCATCCTTCAGACAGCCCCTGGGCCAACCCGCGATGTGTCGGGAGCAGGCGGGCAGCCCACGAAGCCGACCGCTCGCAGAGACCTCACCTGGCTCTCCCCCACTGCCGAGCTCAGTGGCCATATTTCCAGTGGAAAGCTTCAACGCAGCTGAGAGTTCCCCCCCCAGGAGAGCCTGCAAAGACCCGGGGAAAAGCCGGTTATTTCAGCCGCTCGCCACCCCCGGGGCCCGGCGGGGTTTCGCTTCGCCAGCCGATAAGA